TTTTATAATACTAGTTTAAAACGCACTCAAAGATTGCAGTGTTTGAGATGTAGATCTCAGGAGGCAACAGTACTGTTGAATTCTCCCTCCACTGGACACCAACTACTAAGTTGATTTGCATAAAAAGCAGAGCTTGCAACATGATAGCTATTCATAAAGGGTGTTTTTTTTTACTTTTCATATAATACAGTAGTCACACAATGAGGCAGTTCATATTTGTCTCAGTGAATCATTAATTTTTGACAGACACCTGTACAAAATACTTGGACTAAAGCCAGCTAAAATTTTCTGTTATCTTGCATGTTTTATGAATCTATTCACATCTAAATGCAGCACTTTTTTTTTGCAATGAGACATTTGTTTTTATACTAAAATATCTGAATTACTTTGAATAAAGCTGGAAATTATGTCCCTTAAAATAATTAAACAAATAAGGCACCAATGTTTTTGTAAGATATTTACATCTTTTAAGGACATTCGGTAGACTGATTCCCCACTGTTGTTTCAACCCCAAAACTTGTTTGTATTCAAAATTAATTATGACAATGCATATTTATATTGAAACAAACTATGATAAAGGGAATAATATTATATAACAAAGGGCAAGGTCACCAGAGTTCAACTATGTTCTTGTTCTGGGTTTTCATTATTCTTGTTATGTATAACCAATACAATTTTTTCTGAGGAATTGTACGCGTTTTAAACGCTAAACAGTACCATTTATAAACTTTGGGAAGAGAATAATTGTGGTTTTGCATCATTTTGGGTGCACACAGATGGTTTTGTCTGTCAGTATACATGTATATATAATGTATATATAATGCTGCGATGCAATATTATTCGCAAAATATAGTAAAAGTAGAGAGAGTGTATTTTTTTCGTGTGCAGCCCTGTAAAACTTTCGGCCAAACAAAATGCAGATTACATGCTAGTGGTCACTTGACAGTGACGTCACAAGGACTTGTGAAGTCTTTTTAATAGATTTTCGACCATTTCCGACTGCAGGTAAGGTTTTGATAGATTGCTATGAATCCTGGGAAGAATTCAAAATGCTGTTATGTTTGATTAAAATCGATTAAAAAATGAAGACATAACAAGTCCTAGTTAATCAGCTTGTTTGATATAGTGTAGTCTGTAAGTGATTTTGTTTTATTGTACCTGGCTTACATGATTAGATTTAATAACATCAACTGCAAAATATATGTCTGATCAGATTAATAAAGGATCTCAAATTATTAGTAAAATCCATCACAATCGGAACTTGTGTATGTGTTTAAGAATTTCTAGAAGTCAGTATCTCTCATACTGGTACAAGAATACCATTCCTTGAACACAGTCTAGTATTAGTAATTACAAAACATTGAAGAAATGGACAATCTGACGACTTATAAACTTTATTGTACGTACAGCGTAAGCTGACAAACAGAGTTCCCTTTGTAGTGCAATCGTTTGGCTTTGATTTTGATGGGAAAATGGCACGATTCTTTTTTAGCTCCGCTGTCGACTTTGTCGAGCGGAGCTTATCATACGAGTGATTGTCCGTCGTCGTCCGTGAATGCCTGAATGCTTTGATACTTGGTGTATTTGTACCTTGGGTAGACCTCTCTCAGATTTGTTGATTTCATGATCATATCTTCAATTCTCTAATTTTGGTGAATATTTTTGTCATTTTTGGTAAAAAGTGATATTTTCAACTTCTTGTTGAAAACAACAAGTCCAATTGCTTTGATATTACATATATAAGTACTACATGTGGACCTCTCTCAGATTTGTTCATTTTGTAATGATATCTTCTGTTCTTTAATTGAAATGTGCATTGATAACAGCGGAGCTATCTCAGCCGAGATAAACTGAGCATTGAAGAAGAATTAAAAATTTTACGGTGTTAACAGCTCATCAACCCATTCACGCTAACCACAATAAACATATTTTTCATAGGTGTCAATGACTATGGAAAACGTAAATTAGAATCTAATTTAGGCATCAGGAAAGATTGAAATGTTCGAAAAATGGCTCCTATATTAGAGATTATACTGTACTAACAGATTGCAATGATTTCTGGGGTATTAATATATTTGCAGTTTCAGTGACACATCGGTAACATTTCCTTTCTATCAGTGGTCTTTACTTTACTGGAACTGGTGCATCCTGTGTACTGCCAAGTTAAGGTTGGAAGAATTAAAAACAATGAATACAGTATTGAAAATATAACATGAAAATGCTCATTGGTGAATGTCGGAAAATATATAGCCGAAACATTGATATTTACAAGTAATTGATTTCAGAGTTATTAAAAAAATAATAAAATAAGCCACGTTTTTGCACTATAGTCTTGAAACTTAACTGTACCTGTAATAATTAAGACCAGCAAAAATTCAGTGTTATAAACCTTGAATTTGCCCCCCCCCCACCATGTCAATGTCCCCTACAATGATCAGAATGGTATAACCCAATGATTGGATATAGTTTGTTCAGATTTTGTTGCATGTAGTGGACATCAAGATAACTTCAAATCAACTTTGGGCTGAATAAATTTGTGGGACAAGTCAACCTGTGGGACGAATTGACTTGGGATTCATGAGATTTTGGTTGAATCAACAGTCCAGTTACTGTAATTTAAACAAATTTAATGAATGTTAACTACTAATAAATTTAGTCATAACTAGTCAGTGGACAGTTGCTAATAATAATGTTTCCTTTGAATTTTGATCACAGAATTTCCCTCAATTGAAGAATGATCTGATATTACGAGCAGCAAGAGGTGAAAAAACAGAAAAGACGCCAGTATGGGTGATGAGACAAGCGGGCAGATACTTGCCAGGTATTGATAATCTAAAGCACTGTAGTCGGTGCAATATATTCCCATGCAGTATTAAGCAGGATGTCTGTTGAAGACCTTCTAAATGTGTTAATTTTTTGCTGCTAGAAATTGTTTATGTTTCAATGCAATTTTCAGAATTTAAAGAGATGAGAGCAGAGAATGAATTTTTCCATGTGTGCCAGACTCCATCATTGGCATGTGAAGTAACACTGCAGGTGAGAACAGATA